TATATATATATATATATATATATATATATATATATATATATATGCAGTAAACTCTATCAACTGTCAGCAAGAGCACAACTCTCCATAAAAGGAAGAATCCTCAATTTTTATTTTCATTTTTTCTATCATCTTCTCCCTTCCTCCACTTCTGTGCGATTAAACTAGTGTTTTCTTATGCCCCCCCCCCCTTAAAAAAATACTCCCTTCCTGGCGGATAAACTGGGCAGATCCATCATTTCTCAGGCAATTAACAATGGGTGGGAATTCACAGGCATTGCGCAACAGGGTGTCCAATTAAACTGTGATTTCAGATTCCAGAACTGTGCTTCCAGTGAGTAAATCTTCCTCCCTCTAAATAGCTCCCTGTCTATAGAAAGCTAGTTGTTAAACCTGTTTTCCAACAAGCCAGCTTTTCTCAACTGATGGTGCTTGTGCATCCAGATGTCAGCATCAGGAAAGCCTCTGCACTCTTTCCTCCAGAGCACAATCTGCTTATTCAGAATCGCAGTCAATTTTCAATTTTCATAAAATCAGAGGATTATAGCAAGAGGTTCAATTGAATATGCCTTACAGGTCACTTCAGAATCAAAACTGAGGCTATATAGCTGACCCTTAAAACTGGCTCACTTACTGGAGGTGGCAGATGGGCGGGGGGTAAGACAACCTCATTCCTGTCCCGTCCATCTCTTAGCTCTTTCAGTTGTGGTTTTAGTAGTTTTCTTAAATAACATTTCAATTTGTGTAGCTTTAATATTTAAACTGTATTTTACCTCTTTTATGACTTGGGAGATGCCCGGAGTCACCTTGAAGGGGAGATGGGCAGCATAAACATTTAATTAATAAATAATGATAATAAATAAAACTTTCCTGACAACTTTTCAAAGCAAGGGGAAGACCCCTATAGGCCCTTTCTGAGTGGACGCAGAAGTAATGAACTTCATCCTACATCTTCCAATAGAGTTGGAAGGGGCCTTGGAGGTCTTCTAGTCCAGCCCCCTGCTCAAGCAGAACTATACCATCTCACACCACTGACTGCCCATTCTCTTCTTAAAACCTCCAGGGATGGAGTTCCCACGATTTCCAGAGGCAAGCTGTTTCATTGGTTAACTGTCCTTACTGTTAGGAAGTTTCTCCTTAAATCCAGGTTGCTTCTCTCTTTCGAAGGACTTCTTTCAAAGAACTCCTCTAAACAATACCACAGCTTTGTTTTTCTCACACCGAAATATTTAAAGTTACTTTCTAAATACAACTGTGAAGTATCTGTCTTCAGATACTTGAAACGTATGAGACAGACTTCTGCCAAAGAAACATTTTGGACTCTTCTTCCTGTGAGAAAGGAAGCACCAAAATTTCTCATGCAAATATTTCACATGTAGTTGCTTGCAACTGTTACTTATTAGGACCTTATGTGGAGGAGCAACCTGTAAGACTGCATTCATGTTAAATGAGCAACCTGTAGGACTGCATTCATGTTTTAGTGTCTAAAGATTAAATTAAGGTTTTGGCCCTCATTAATTCTGATACTGCATTGAAACAGGACTACATCTCTTAAAATTTAAGTTTAGGAACCCATGAAAGGTGTGTTTATTACATGAAATGTACATGTATGGAACTAAGTGTGCAAACAAAACCATTGTAATACGGATGTATCAATAGGAAAGGAATAGGCCTTTTACCTCAAAACTGTAAGTAGGATTAATAACATAACCATCAATAAACATTTCAAATAAATAATTAAGAGACAAGCTTAGCTTGTTTTTGTCAATAAATTGAATGCAAATTGTTTTTTTTTAAAGGGATTGGTAGTTTGATTGAAAAACAGCTGAGAAGGAAAAGGACTTATGTATAATTATCTATTATAACAAAACTTCAATTCAGAACAAGTGGCTTATTGTTGCAAACATTTATCCTCCTAAAATTATCCTGATAATGTGCCTGGATCTTACTAAATATGCCTACATAGCCATCATGTTTTTTTTTTTAGATCTAGAATACTTCTCACTGGCAGATAAGACCAGCACATGGCTGGAAATGATCCTACAAATACAAAATTAAAGGCTGTAGCAGAAGTTAAGATACCAAACTCCCGTCGATAAACTAGTCACACATAAGGATGATGTTCTTGTATAAGATAACCCCTATTTGAGCAACACACTATGTAAAGGGATGGAAGGTATCCATTTTTGGAACAAACTCAGCAGCTCTTCCTAGGACCTCCATATAAGAGGTATTGATAATGTTACTCAACTCCCTTCAGATCTAACCAGCATGGCTAATAACGAGAGCTAATAAAAATGGCAACTCAGCAATATCTGGAAGATAACATTGCCAACCCACTTCAAAGGATGAGTCTCAAGTTGTTTTTTTTTAAAAAAAAACCTGATTCATCTTTTTTTTTTTTAACCAAACCATTTTAGGTTACTTATTTTAAGAAAGCAAGACCGCCCAAAATGAGACAATTTGTAAATCCATACACGAGACTTGTGGCTACATATTCATAGACTACATACTGTAGACCAGGGATCTGCAACCTTAAAACTCAAAGAGCCATTTGGATCCATTTCCCACAGAAAACACCAGAAAAACACCCACCCGGTGTGTCTGGGTGGGTGTGGCCAACTCAATATCACTCACTCCCACCTAGTCACATGATTCCCCTCCAGCCATGCCTACCCAGCCAGTCATTAGGGCAAAGAACTTGGTTGTTAAATTATTTTCTCTACCTCCCTGCCTCATCCCTCTCCTCCTAGCCACCTCTTGCCATACCTGGCCTCAGGTATGTTGTTCACACACCCTATCTTTCTCCTTCTCTGTCTCTCTCCCCCCCTCTCCTTTTTCCCTTCTCTCTCCTCTCCTCTCTCCTTCATTCTTTTTTCCCTTCTTTCTCCTCTTTTTCTCCCCCCCCCCTTCTCCTTTTGCAAGACCAGCAGGCAAGGCCATGGAGGCAGCAAGAGTGTCAGGAGCCACTGCAGAAGGCTGAAAGAGCCACGTGTGGTTCCAGAACCATGGGTTGTCAACATCCGCTGTAGGCTATATAGACATAGATTTCAAGTCTAGCGCAATGAACACAGAAGAACGAAACTTTCCCTTTCCCCCAACTTTAAGGATAAACACATGGGTTGATTGACACAGCAGTTTGAAAAGATCCGCATGGGCACAGAAAGCAATAACTTGGTCAGTATCAGGAAAAAAAAAGTTTATTTCTATAAATAGTTCCTTAAATCCACCATCAAGGAAGAGCTTATACAACAACTTGACTTCCACTGAATTGGTGCTGCTACTTTTAAATAACAGGATAGTTAGGTGAGGAAAACCTTTGTTAATGCACTTAAGATTAATGCACAAATGTTTGGCTATATTGAAACACAGACACATTAGGCAGATCCAAGGGAGGCTGTGAGGACTTCTATCAAATGTGCAGCATGGGCGCTGCATTCTGATATCTAGCTACATGCTTCTATAAGCGGACTCCACTACCTTGTAGACACAAGTGTCGGCTTGATGCTTTAGCAGGATTAGAAATGTTCTTGTACATCCTGAATGTTCTCCCAAATCTACAGTAAAAACATAGATGCTTCTTCCTTGTGAAATAAAAAAACTGTACCGATACTTCCTTATATCGGCAATTACTCCTTGATAAAAGCAACTTGTATGGCATACATGTGTACACACACAAATGTAGTGTTTACGGACTGACGCGGTCACTGATGCATTTTAACAGAATCTATGCCTCATTTGAATCCTTCATTTCCCAAAAAATGTCCTTTGGAGCCACAGAGTTCTAAATTACAGAACATGGGCTTTTTACCAATCTGCTATTCTTTATCTTAAATAATTAGATAAGCAGTTCAAGAGCCCAGAACCCTCTTCCAAGGCGGACTATCAAAGAGAATAAGCAACCTTACTAATTACGGAAACTTTAGAGAGAATAAGGCCTTAAGAAATTTAAATGAAATATTTTTCTTTAATAAAATCATGATCCTAAACAAAACTCTACGCAGACTCGCAACGGAAACACACTAAGGGGTTCTTTTCATTTCCCCTAATTATTGGAAGAGCAAGAATCAATAAAACCACACCCTTTCGGCTGCTGGAAAACTACAATGGTGCTCAGAAAATCCAGTGCTCCACAAAAAAATCAAAGAATGTACTCACCCTCACCAATGCACTCCAGCAATATGTTGAGATCTTTGGTAAATATGACTGTAAGTCACCTGGCCTTTGATAAAGACTGTCCTCCTGCAGTATCTGTAGATGTACCAAATGACTTGGTTGAACTGTAAACCTGTTCTTGGCTTTTTAAACCATGGTCTTAAATCAGTGTTCTGGAAGCAGCTATTTTAATATTAGCTGACATATCTGTCTCTAGAAATAGGGTGCAGTTTTCTAAACAGTGGAAATAATTGAGTCCAGCAGAAATAAGGGCAAGCAAGAAACAATCTTGAACAACCCAGTAAGATTATGTTTAGACCAGAAACTTTGAAGACTCGTTAAATTCAAAATGCGTTTTGAAAAGGAATTTTGTGGTGTCTCTTTAGATGATTCCTTTTCCATTTCTGCATGTGTTCCTCTCTTTATTTTCTGTACTTGGTAGAAGTTTTGGAACTATTGAGTTCAGCTCCAAAACTGTAATATCAATTGAGATTACACAGGAGTGTTGTTGTTTTTTTTAAATCTGGCTATAAGATACTCATTGTTTTCTTACTAGCAAACTGCACCTACTCCAAACATTAATGGTGTGACATCTTGCTGGGCCTGTAAGACAATGTTATTCACTTCCTGACAGTGGAAAATACTCAGGCAAAAGTTAAAGAAAATCTGGTTCATAGACTTTGTGGCTTCTTTTCTTAGAAAATTACATTTAATAATATTGGAACTAACACAGCAGCAGAACTGGTCAACGATAACAGATCAATATGCTGAAGACTGAATTCACAGGCTGGAGACTTCTTAAAAGATAAACTTCTTATAAACAGGGGCAACCAACACCGGTTTAAGCAGAAAAACAAGAAAAAGGAAAAGTTACAGCGTTAAACCTTGGGGCATTATATTTACTCGAAAGTCCTATTGTTAATTTTCAAAGAATGCAGCTTTAGCAGAAGTATGAAGGTCAGATGGCAGACATGATTAAAACCGATGTGCGGAGGAGAACTGTGGGTTTGTGAACATAGGGCATTCAGGATAGCAGAGGTAAGCAGCAGATGCCTTATAAAGTGTCCAAATATAACGTACAACTGTAACCATATGTAACAGGGTTTAAATTAGTCACAATACACAACGGTGAAGGTACTTTGCAATCTGACAAGGTCTGTAAACCAAGGCTTTATATAGTCAGTTAGAACTAACCTCAGCCCCATTTTCTTTTCCCCCTATAACTTAACCCTCAAAATGCTGCAGTGTGGGAATGGCACACTCAACAGCTTGCTTTGTCGGAGCCCTGAAGCAAAGAGCACAATTCTGCACAGGTTTGTGTCTCTACGGAACTGAACTGGGAGTCCATGGTATTCCAGGCCAAGTCAGCTAAAAGGAAATCATCCATCACGGTCTGAGTCTCGTTGCTGGTGAGAAATAAGCTGCCTAGGGTATCAAGGCAGCTGTCTATGGTTTGCGTTTCGGCACTGCTCAGCTGGACCTTTCCGTCTGACATGTGATCGGAGATCTCGCTGTCTGGACATCTCATTTCCGTTTGGGTTTCTGTATTGGAAGAGTCCGCACTCATCAGAAAAGCAGAAGGCTTCAAGATGTTCCCCAGAGGCAGGTAGGGAGTGTCCAGGAAGAAATTTAAGTCTGTCTGGGTCTGCGTATCAAACATTTCTAAGCCTAAGAAATTAGAACTGCCTCGAGAGGCATAGGATGGGGTAGTGTGGTCTGAAAATAAATCTGTTTGGGTTTCAATGTCTAGGAACTCCAAGGTCGGCACCGAGTTCAAGTTGCCCAATTCAGCCTCTTCGGTTTGAGTTTGGATATTGGAAGCCGTAAAGAATTCCTCAATGTCAAAATCTATTCCTGGGTTCTGGGTAGAGACGGAGCTTAAGGGAAGGCCAGGGTTGGGGTGAGTATCCGTTAAAAGACTGCGGTTATCCAACGAATGGGCTGTGGAGTTATTTGAAAAAATGGTTTCCAGGTCATTCAGTAGCTCCATGGTTTGCGTCTGATTGTCTGTCATAATTTGCTGGGGAAGAATACCGTTGGTGGACGAGTTAAAGCTCATCATTGGCTCACACTTGGTGTCTGGGCTCAAAGTTTTGCAGTTTCCTTGCGGTAGCATATTCTGATCCAGATTGGTTGCCATCAAGGGGACACCAGGATGAGTCATGGGGTTTGAATCGGGAAATGAGGAATTAACACAGTTGAAAAGACCGCCGCAGGTGACAGTCTGGTCCATGTGTACGTTCCCATCGATACCTTTTGGGGATTTGCCGGTCTGAGTCTCCCGAGAAATTCCGCAGGGTTGAAAGCAAGCTTGAGCAAGCACATCTGTCTGAGCAGCTATGGAGGAAGTCAGCTTTGAGCTGGGTAACAGGGTTTGCGTCTCTACGCTCACCGGAAGCAACGCCTGGGAGCTGAAAGTCAGGTCTGTCTGAGAACAAGAGGACACCGAGGAATCGGGAGGCCAAGCTGCGGAAGGCACAAAATTCTGGGAAAAGTAAGAGAGGTCAGTTTGAACATTTGTGGAACAGATCCCGTTTTTATAGCACAGAGCTTCAAGATCCTGGACAGGATTATGGGGGGATGCTTTGCCTAAATTCACCTGAATGCCTGTACTAACCGGCTTAGTACCATCAGCAGCTTTGGTTCTGGAAAGGGCTGAGGGGGTTTTCAATGCAAGGGCTTCAGTCTCCATTGCGGGTATCATAATTCCGACCGGCATAGGCATTAAGTGAACAGTACTCATGACAGAACCTTTCTCGTCCACAGTCACCACAACGGGCTTCATAGAGGAGTTTGGTGCTGGCACCAAGATAGGCAATTGAGTCAGCTGCATTACAGGGAGCTTAACTAAACCCACTTTCGGCTTAGGCAAGAGAAACTTTGGTGCATTTTTGGGCTGTGCTTGAGTTTGCTGAATAAAATAAGGTTGGCTGGAATCATCCAAGGAGGCTACCAACTTGATCTCAGGGGTCTCCAAATCCTCAGTGCTGGCACATCTGCTGTGGATGTTGGTGGGCGTCCTTCTGTGTGTTCTTTTTTCTTCCAGTGTGCAGTTAGACAGTGAAATTTTCCTTTTCTTGCTAGGCGGATCCCTGTAAACATTAATAAATCGTTAGAAATGTGGTTGTACTGCAGCACAGTTCTCCCCACTGCTCCCAATTCGAGAAAAGGACTTCAGGAAAATGGAAGCACATAGCCCATCACTTTAATAGTATGCGAGAATGACCTTTGGACACAGGGAGAAGAGCCACAATCAGGGGAATAGTCTACACATTCTAATATCTTCCTAATCACATTCTCATCCACAGGGATACCTTCATTCTTCCAATTTTGTGCAAATACAATCCTAGCTGCAGTTATTACATGAATTATCAAATATATATATATACCGTGTTTCCCTGAAAATAAGACCGTCCCAGATAATAAGCCCAATCGGGCTTTTGAGCGCATGTACTAAAATACGCCCTCCCTGAAAATATTGCAACACAGCAGCAGCCATGAGGTGACCACGCTCGCCACCTCCTGCACCTCAAAAATAATGAGCCCTCCCCAAAAATAAGGCCAAGTGATTATTTGTGGGGTGTGTGTGTCAAAATAAAATAAGACCCTGTCTTATTTTCGAAGAAACACGGCATATATCTCAGAATATGAATAGGTTAACATTTGAAATTAAAGAGACAGAACAATCTAATTATTACAATATATGGGAATTATTTTATCAATGGTTAGAGAAATATGAAAAGTGGAAAAAAGCAGAAGAGTAAATTAGAGAAAATATTTTAACAAAGTTAAATAAGTTAAGAAGGGGATCGTTATAGTATTAGGTATGGTATATATTAGTATTAAGTTAAGAATAGATAAAATAATAAATATGGCTGTAATTTGTAATTGCTATTGTATAAAATATTTGCACAAAATATATGTGCCCAGATGACACACTGTTTAATGGAAGATGATGCTTGAGTTAAAAAATTTTTTAAAAAAATTATATTAAAAAAGAAGTCAGGGGAATAGTCAGGTCAAAGGCATCTTAGCCCTCAGCAGAAATGTGGGTGTGGTACACATCTCAGAAAGGATCCTCCTTAGTTTCTTGGTTGATGACAGGAGAGAAATGAACTTTCAGACAGGCAAAGTTCTGTTAAAGTAACCTTACAATGAAGTGTAAGAGACTCATCTGGGCATGTTCCCTGCCTAGATTACCCCACAAGGTTGACATCAAGTCTGAAAGTACCGGTAGTTCTCGACTGATGACCTCAATTGAACAAAAATCTCCCTTGTGAAGTGAGAAAGTTGTTAAGTGAGTTTTGCCGCATTTTATGACCTTTCTTGTCACAGTAGTTATGCTTGTAGTTCTTAAGTTAGTAACATGGTTGTTAAGTGAATCTCACTGACTTTGCTTGTCAGAGGATGGCCGAAGGGGATCATGTTGCCAGGACACTGCAACCATTATAAAATATGAGTCAGTTGCCAAGCGGCCGAATTTTGGTCATCTGACCACGGGGATGTTACAACAGGCATAAATATGAAAAACAGTCATCAATCACATTTTTCAGTGCTTCTGTCACTTCAGTCACTAAATGAATGGTTGTGAGTTGAGAACTGCGTGTGCATTTCTCCCCCATCACTTTCACAGTTCAAGAAACTGGGAGGAGCCATTTCTGAGACATTTGCCACAGCCACATTCCTTTTATAGCTAAACTTCATTTTATCTGTCTTCCCAGCTGCCTCCTGAAGTCCTTTCCACATATCATTACAATCACTGCCAGAGGTTAGAGGCCCACTGACAAAGAACAGAAGCAGGAGAAGATTTCCATTATAAAAATCATTCCCATCCCATGACTCTTATTATCCCTAAAATGAAATGGTAAGGAGTTGAGATTAAACAGAAAGAATACATTCCCTCCTACTCAAAAATGTGACTAGATAATTGAATGAATAAGCACAACTGTCAACACTGAAGCTGACCTGACTGATGACATTTTATCCATTCAATTTTATTTCTCTCTTTCATCATTTTATTATGATGTTTTTTACCACCCATCTCATATGCCACGACTCTGGGCGCCTTACCACATTACGTACTCGTCACTTATGAAATGAACTGCAATAACATTAATGCAGTACAATGTTGGTGCTGTGCTCTTCAACCCCATGCTCTAATTCATGCAACATTCAAAAGCTCACGGTGCTAACTATTTGGGTGAAATAAGCGCTGGTCGCATTTGCACTCCTAGGAAACAGGAGAGCAACACACAGCATTGTGCAGCATTAGAGAATGTAAAGATCTTGTTGGTGGCAGCCTATCTGATAAAGGATGCATGGATGTAAAACCAAGAAAAATACAGAGTTATGAGCATAATAAAACCAAGAGCAGAGAAGTGGAGCCATCACTGGCAGTTACCAACACCAAAACTCTCCCCCAACTTCTAAACCCCTCCAAATTAATATGTGCATGTGCAAGATATATTTGGAAAATGCTGCCATACCTGTGTTCAACTGGGATCTCATGTTGTGTCCGATAAATATGAGATAACAATGCCGTCCTGCTGGCATAGGGACACCCACAGGTACACTGGAAAGTCTTGCCACAGTCCACAATATGGCGCTTCAAATCCCATATAGTGCCATATGAATTGGTGCATTTATCGCATTTATGCTTCTTTTCAGCATGCATTTTCATGAAGTGCTGAAACAACCAAATGTTAGGGAAATTGTAGGGATGCGGAGAAGCAACTTAGAATCAATGAGATTATCAGTTACACCATCTTTTAGCATTCCCAAAGTACTATTAGATTCCCATTTTAGACTGAAATCTTTCTAGAGTCTACTTGGAGATTTTGGGGATTAAAAGTAAATCTAACCAATCCTGCAACTTTGATTAAGCCTATTTCCTAGCAGGCATACTTGCTTACTATAGATAATTAATTGTAATTCACTGTTCATTTTGAATGATGCAGCACAGTTTTACTTAAATGTCAAAATTAGTAGAATAGAAGAACTAAACTCTACTTGCATTTAGGATCAGGATAACCAAAGAAAAAAAATGTAATTTACTTAACACAAAGTTCCCTCACTGCCACCCTCCCCCCCAGACATCTCCCCCTCCCTCCATTTCCCCTCCTTACATTCCCTCTCACTCCCTCTTTACTTCTCCCTTCTCTTT